ACAACCTGCCTGCTCAGGCAGCTGACTAAGTCCAAGCTCTCCCACGTGGCTGTTTGCTGGGGATGAAAGTGAACTGTTCATCTCCAGTGGTGGTTGCCTGAGCAATTATCCCAGAGAAGGATTACTGCAGGATCAAGTACTGTTCTTCATCAGAAAACAGCTGACTCAGAAATAACATATCCTGCTCAGAGCACACCCATTTCAAAAAGCCTCTTACACCCAGGACGGCATTCCGAACGCTGCTGCGAGCAGGAAGGTCTCTCACTTCAGATGGACGAAGCCAACAGTCCTGGTTTTGTTCTCATGCAGAATCGAGAAGACTTTTAAATCTCCAAATGTTAAAGAGCGCAGACTACGATTCACTGATTTTAGGCTTTTCTCCTATTTCACGCTGCTGCCAGGCTGTGACAGCTACTCCCAGTACCTCCCCGTGGTGACAAGCCCTGCCTCTGCCGAGCAGCCCTCCCAGGGGCTGTCCTGGAGCTTCATGCACATTGTTCTCCTCTGACTACGTGGCCCAGAGCTGCAGCCAATCTCCCTCCCATAGATGACAGACCCTTTTCTTCAGCTAATCTGCCTCGAACCCCTGCGTCACGCAGCAACCTGCTATCTCTGCTCTACGCTCGCCACTTCTGAGAAGCCACGCTGGGCCAGGCACGTCCCTCCCAGCGGCCCCATGCCTCCTAACTGGGCTGTCCCTGCGCAGTGCCAGTTAGCTCTGCAAATGTTATAAAAGAGCAAATATCCTGTAAATGCTTCCAGCTCCTGCGTAAAAGACTTTCTGCTAAAAACTGATATTTTTATCCTCGTTACGACTCCTTACATCCTTACATGTAGGAAAAACGTAGGATGCCACCCCCAAAAAGGTAGTTAATGATCCCAGGTATTTGTAGACATATTTCTCAGCAATTTAAAGCAATTTGTTCAAGCAGCCAAGAAGCCAGAATGGGGCTCGTTATAATTAGAGTAGTTGCCACTAAAAGTCAACATTTCCCTGCAAAACTGTCTGGACATCACGTTTGTTCCATGCCTCAAACACAAGGGGAAAAAGATGTCATTTTGTGGCAGACAGGTCCACTGTCCAACAGCTGGGTTTCTACATTATTTATAACTTCTATACATCAGCATTCTGCCTCTGTGCCACGTCACCTTGTTACAGCCAAAATTATCTCATCAGCATACTGAAGCACCGCTTTAGCAAATGATAGTCTTTTATTCCTAAATTATCCTGTAAACCATAACAAATATTTTACCTGTCTGAAAGAACTGGCTTTTTGTTTTATTTTATATTGGCTTACCCCCCCCCCAAAAATGGGCTTTTTGTTCTGTGTGCTCTTACAGTATTTTTGATCCTTACAGTGGTGAATCAAAACATTCATCTCTAGTTAATCTCTAAATCTACTTCAATTAAGTCTGAAAAGCAGCATGACCTACATCCTTTTCTAGTCAAAAATAGGCTAAGATATACTCAGGAGGGTCTTCTTCAAGGGTGGAGGAGTTCTCACTCTTCCCGATACTTGAAGAAGTACATGAAGAAGCAGCAGAACAGTTTTGTTTAAGAAAAGGAAACGCTATCGTAAAAATGACATAAATTGCGAAGCCTCCACCCACTCCTTTCTCAAACAAGGGCATCACTCATCTCTCAGCCTTCCTCTTCTAAGTGGGTTGCAGAGCCACTTCCCATGGCTGTGTCACAGAGAACCACACGTACTGCAGCCCTGAGAAAGGCAGGGGGAAAGCGACCAGCCTCCCGTGCTTCTTAGAAGAGTTCTTTATTAGAAAATCAAAGTGGGATTTCTGATCTGCTCAGAGGTCTAGCAATGTCTTGCACAAATTCCTCCAAACGTCTGAAACTCTAATGCAAGAACAGGATAGGGTAGGGTGGAATGGAACGGAATGGAGTGGAATGGAGTAAGATGGAACAGTATATTTCAGTTGGAAGGGACCTACAACAATCTCCTAGTCCAACTGCCTGACCAATTCAGGGCTGACCAAAACTTAAAGCACATTATTAAGGGTATTGTCCAAATGTGTCTTGGACACTGAGGCATTGACCACCTCTCCAGGAAGCCTGTTCCAGGGTTTGCTCATCATCTCGGTAGAGAAATGCTTCCTAATGTCAAGTCTGAACCTTGCTTGAGGAGCCTTGGTTAAATTAGTTTTTATCTTGTTCATGACCACGGATGCACACTTTGGTTCACATACACGCAGCAACATCCAGAAGCTTTCTTTCAGGCTTGCTTGCCCTCAGTTTTGTTGCTTTATAACTTTTTGCCAAGTTATAAAACCACCTTTATTTATTTCCTCAGATAGTCAACGCTGTGGCAGCTCCACCACTACAGCAACGCCCCCGTGGTTAGAGATTTCCTCCAAGCACAGGCTGCCAACACGTCCACGTTCAACGGAGAATGGTACTGCAGAAATCATAGAATCATAGAATGGTTAGGGCTGGAAGGGACCTTCAAAGGTCATCTAGTCCAACCCCCCTGCAAGGAACAGGGATATCTCCAACTAGATCAGGTTGCTCAGGGCCTCGTCCAACCTGGCCTTGAACGTCTCCAGGGATGGAGCATCCACCACCTCTCTGGGCAACCTGTGCCAGTGTTCTACAACTCTCATGGTAAAAAATTTTTTCCTAATATCCAACCTGAATCTACCTCCCTGTATTTTAAAACCATTACCCCTTGTCCTATCACAACAGGCCCTCCTGAACAGCCTCTCCCCATCTTTCTTGTAGGCCCCCTTGAGGTACTGGAAGACCGCTATAAGGTCACCCCGGAGCCTCCTCTTCTCCAGGCTGAACAGCCCCAACTCTTTCAGCCTGTCAATAACCCAGGTGGTCAACGTCCTTTCCCACCGGTCTCCCCAGCATAAGCCAGCTTTGGGTTTGCACCTCCCCAGGGATTTGCCTCCATGGTCCTGCTGTTCCCAGTAAGCTGGATGTGCACAGGATGATGACACTTAGCCTCATTCGCTACGCACAAAATATAAGTCTGGCAAGTGAAACACAAAGCTGACAGGTCGTTTGTAGTTTTGAAGAGTCGGCACGAAATACGTCAGCACAATTCCCCATCTCATCCTGCGCATATATCCACTTAACAGAACTAACCAGTAGAAAGTAGCATCTTTGACTAACCCTGATTAAATAGATCTTGTTTGAGTGAAGAAAGGGAACGAAGTACAAATTGATAAAGGCTCACACCTGTTCCTAGAGCAATTCCAAGACAGTTTTATTCAGGGTCTGTAACAGCTTCAGTGCCATTTCCATCTCTGATTAGAAGCGGCACCTCTCCTCCACGTGAGAAAGGGAGAGACTTTTGGCTCTGGGGTGCACAGGCTAAGACACCTGCTCTCCCAGCTGAGTTTTGCTCAGCCAGGACCACATCACCTCTGCACGCTGGAAATTAAGGAGACCTTGATTAACAGCGGACCTCCTGCGCCAGGAGGTGGGTATGTGCACCAGTGTTTCACACAGCACGTGTGGTTTTCTACTTGGCAAAAAAAGCTCACGGGCTTTCCTCCTCCTGCCCGCGGCGATTCCCCACTGAAGTTTACACAGTCTCCAGTTTTCTAAAGAAATAATAAACTTGTTGATTTCTGGCCCCAGAGAAGCTGCTTATCCAGAAGAATTGTATATTCCCTGCTACTTTCAGTTAAGTGTACAGAATTTGGCAAACACAACACAGCAGCTTCTGCTCCGGTAAGATAAGAAGCCAGAAGGAGCCCGAGGCCCCGGCAGAGCACCAACCTGCTCACAGCCCTTTGTAAGTTTATCCATATTATTTCAAAAGTAGATTACACATACACAAAACATGAACATCGTAGCAGATTGAAGCTGCCCAAAATTAAAAATCGCATCCTGAGTCTTCTAAAAACTGTTTAGGTTATAATCAGCATTTAATTAGCTTTCTACATCTTTCCAAAATCACCCAAAGCGAGGAACTGATTAAGCAGCCATCAGGTTTTTGTGCAAGTGCTCCATTTGAATATAACTTCCAGCTGCGCTGTGACATGGAAGTAGCTTTATCATCTGCATAAAATTGTTTTCTGCAGGTCCCTGCTACAAACCACAGATACTGCTGTACATAAAAGCTGTACAAGTGAGCAGTGAATTAAAAGCCAACAAGGACTGTGCTATGTGTTACACCGTACACGACGACGGAGCAGAACCCAAAGGACATAAGAGACACAGTGACGTGTGTTACACGCAGTGACGAACAGTCACAGCGAAACGGCGATTAGAATTTCACGTGGATTCATTTTCCTGCTTTTCTTTTGGTGGCAACAACACAGCGTAACGCATCTGGACACTTCCAGAGGTGATTTTGAACCGCCACAGAACCACCCACCACCCACGCCCCCACAGTACGTGATGCCCTCTCTTTCAGGGTGGACGTTTCTCAGGTCTGGCCGGAGGTCAGGTTCCCACACCGTGGGCATCTGCGCTGCCGTGCGGATGGGCATCCTGTTGCGTTCCCTCCACACCCCGATAACCACACGGTGTTTCCCAGGAGAGCTCTGTCGGGCACCGAGGGATAACTGGTAACGCTGGATGCCCCCCTTGAGCCGCGCCGCAGCCCCAGGCGCCCCGGCCCGCCCCGCTCCGAAGGCTCTTGGGCAAGCTGGCACCTCGATCCCACTAACCGATGCAGAGCAGGGACTTGCCTGCTGCAGTGCAGCATCAATTTAACGAAGCCAATTAAAAACCTCTCTCCAGTTAATCTGGTGCATCCTCCCCTGCAGACCAAGTGGAACCCAGCGCTGCCGGGGACGGGCGAAATCCGCCGTCCGGAGGGAGGTCACGCTCAGCGACTCTGCTGTCTCACCTTTGGGCAGCACTAATTCCCCACAAGACGGCCAAGTTCAAAGACAAGCCCTGACAACCCACTGGCATCGCGTCCTCCTTGGGGGCATCCCTTTAAAATGCATTTTCGAGGAATTCTCTTTCTAAAATTTGTTCAATAAACTCATTTAAACCCACCGTATTTGAATAGCCTTACCTGTAGAAGCCTTGGTTATCGTATGCCACGTTAGTCACATCATCAAATACGGATTTATTCCTGAGTTTCTTGTTGTTGTTGTTGTTGTTTCTTCCCTTAAAACCAAAGTAAGCAGCTTGCATGTGCTCTAGTTCTTCGGTCCTGAGCTGGTACCACAGCTGCATATCTCTGTGAGTAAGGCAAGGGGTAAAATACATCACTCTAATAAATGGCTGTATATCTGAGCTTTTATTTTTTTATTTTTCTGAGGTCAGATAAACACCACAGCCCTGGCTCACTATGGCTTCCATCTAAATTCAGGTTGAAGACAGCACTTAAACACACGCTGAACTTCAATTGTAAGCCAAACTTCCAGAGACTTAAATACCTGCTTAAACACCTTAAGGTGGGGGGTTCTTAAAAGCATAAATATTGTTCTGTAAAATAGTGTTATTTTAAGTATTATCCAGCAGTCCTCAAAAACCAAGCAAATAAACAAAAAAAAAAGAGAGCAATTTTCTTATCAGCACCTGTGGATAGTTCAAAGGAACAAAAACCCAGTAATTATGTCAATTTGGCTCAGTGGATTTTGAGACTACAGGTGACAAGGAATGTCACTTAAGGCGTGATGTTGTGGCAATGTTCTCATGGACCTTCATCAGTGACACATGTCAGGCCAGATCCTGTTGCACGTGAAAAGACTACAGACCATCCCCATTTCATGGAATAAATTATTTCAGGGGAAAAAAAAAAAAATATTTTCTGTGAATTTTTGCAGCACTGCTGTTCCTAAGGGTTCAAAAATCACCAGGCAGGTTGAAAAGATGAAGTGACTTAAAAATGGAGGAGACAGGTAATGTTGGCTCTGGTGAGAGCAAGGCTGACTAGGTTGCCTTCAGGATTTCCTTTTGGAAATGCTCAAGGCACTTTTCATGCTGCTCTCTCAAACTCAGTGGCAAAAAAAAAAAAAAGAAAATCACAATTTCTTTTCTTGTTTTTTAAAAGAAGTCTAAGATTCACAATCACAGACATTCACACTAGCTGATGAGACAAAATTAAATTGTGAGGGCTGGCGATGCTGATTTGGGTGTCATTTCCATCCTCTCAGGAGGATGATGCAATGGGACAAGGTCTGCGGGGAGGCTAAATTGTATGAGGATTTTCAGCAGCCTTTGTCCTTTTTCTCTCCAAATGCAATGATAAAACCCAGGATGGCACTTTGAAGAACATCAGATACCTTATGAGACAGGTTTGTGGGCAGAGGTGATGTCTTCTAGTAGACCAACTAAAAGAGCCAAAAAAAATAAACAGGTGGACTTCAAAGCTAAAAGCAAGGTGAGAACATCCTCCCTACCCAAAGGTACAGAGCACCTTTTCTTTCAGAGATGGGCTAAAAGACCCTTATTTAACTACTCCCCTACCAAGTACTCTCATTTTGTATTAAGTTATCAAGCCTGCAGCTTCTCTTCAGCTTAATGCTCTGCGCATCCAAAAGTTGATCCATGTTTTCCAACTATGTCAACTGGCCTCACAAAAGAGATTTTCTCTACATAGAATCACAGAATGGTTTGGGTTGGAAGGGACTTTAAAGACCATCTAGTTCCAACCCCCCCTGCCACGGGCAGGGACACCTTCCCCTAGGTCAGGTTGCTCAAAGCCCCATCCAGCCTGGCCTGGCACACTTTCCTGCAGACCCTCATGCACTCACGCCCTTGGACACTGCCAGCTGCAGCAGCGCTACCACCACATCTGGCACTGCAGCCCGGGCTGTGGGTCAAGCGAGTTTCCTACAGGGATGTATTACTCTTTCTCAAGTGACATGGATGGTTTCTCCATCATCTCAGCTGCTTTCTGGCAGTGGGGCTGAGCCACACAATGGCTACAGTGTCCCCAGGTTGCCCCCACCCCAGGAGTGGTGGAAGGGCCAGGTTGGAGTAGCTCCTTCAGAAGACAGTGAAGGGAGGACAGAGGACAGCAGGGAACTGAGAAGTTCCCAAAAAAGGGAATTGGTTTATGTCCTGATGACAGAACCAGGTCAAAATGTCCAGTGCAGATGGCTTTTCTTTCGTAAGGGAAAAATATCAAGCCATCAAAGTCATGTGAACAGCTAACTTGAGCAAAACTCCATTTAAATTAAATCAAAACCAAGGACTTTGCTATGAATAGTCTTATCAAAAAGAAAAGCCGTGATTCCAAAAACTGCAATCAACCCTTTCATTTCAAAAATTATTTCATGCTTTCAGTGAAAACCTAATATAATGAATGACACCAAAGACTTCCTTTTTCGCCTCACAAAATCCTTCCAAGGGAAATAGAAAAATCTGTGTTTTGGTTACAATCAGATTTCAAAATGACAGAATCTCCCCCTAAGCTGGTTCCCACGCAGCTCTAGATAAAACACAGCTCGGAGCAGAGAGACCTTCACTCCCGTCCTCCCCAGTCTCCCTCTACTCCACCACTACCCCACCTCACTCCAAACCCTCCTCTGAAAATCAACCCTCGTTACCGGATTGGCAAATCTGACATCTTCCCATGCCTGTTGATAATCCTGCCTGCTGTCTTGCGCTTCAAGCCAGAAGACAAAATCCTACATCCTTCCAGCCCAGCGCTGTGACAGCTTTACGGATGCTTTGCAGATGGTGAGGGCCGTGAGGGTTTTGACATGGGGGTAGATTAATTTTCCCAGCAGTGTTCAAGGAGAGCAAAGGGAAAAATGAAAGACAGAGAGAAGAAGGGAAAACGCAGCCAGTCTTAAATAATTCAAGGAGAGAAAGACTGGGCCAGCAAATAAGACTTGTATGTTCAGCTCCTCCATAATCCTGGGTAAAAGCAGATCTGCCCAGGCCCACTGAGGTCATCTGATATTACTGGACATTAGGTGCCTTAATGGTCTTGAATTCCAAGTCTTTCTATGCTTAAAGCCTAGGCTGTGAATTAAGGACTTTAAGTAATTAACATCACTGTGGTGGTGTGAGCATCAAGTCCTTTGAAGCTCTCTGCTGTCAAGCAATGGGGCCCATATTACGTACAGTCTTATGCAGATTTTAAAAAATCTTTCCTTGACATACCTTTGAGTCCTCCTCCTTTCACTTTTCTTCACACACTTGATAAGACAACAGGTTAAAAACGCCATGGACATCAGTAGAATGACGGCACAGCTCACGATGGAGGCGATCACCGCGACCTTAAATCCAAAAGTCTCATATTTTGATATGGCTGTAGCAAAGCAAACACAGAAACACGTTTCTAAGGTCAACCCATGAATTTCTCTTTCACATTTTCATTAAACTATGCTGAACCCCTGCTCCACACTCCTGCTAACAATAGCTCAGTGAGGACTTTCACCTCAGTATGTGTCAAGACACCAGAGTATCTTGGCTTCAGCTTAGAGCTATGCAAGCCTCAAATTGGGCTATTTAAAAATCTCCTGTTTAAAAGCTACTAATGAATTGCTCACAAGTACTTCACCTCTGCAACTAATTAAACACAATGCCTTTGGCACTGCAGTAGCTAAAAAGCACAACTTCCTCAGCACATCAAATGCAGATGAGCCAGCAGACTCTTAGAAGCAATTGGTAACAAGGACTGGAGCTGGAAAAAAAAAACACTGACAGCGGTAAATGGGTGTAAAGAAGCCCCTTTGAGCAAGAAGAGTTCCATATAATTGCATCCTATTCGGCAGGCAGAGAACAACAGGTCCTCCTCTGATTGGGGAAGGATGCGGGACAGAAGAAGGGGCAGTACCTGCAGGGCTGAGCGATCACGGTGACCTGATGTTGGAAGTGAATTATCCAGACAAAAGGAGGAGTGGGAACGCTGTGTGGGACAGGATCTCTGCCCACTCATTTGGAGCACTAAGCATGTCTTGCTTCAAAACTCATCTAGATCTTCCATCACCGCAATGACCAGCATCAGAAACGGTTTGGCTGAGCTCCACACAAAGCTTTATATTCCTGCAGCCTCTGGAGGGGAGGATTCCACTAATTTTTCTTTAACGGAATCTCTCCAACAAGAGCTAAGAATAGCTGAGTTTGTGAGAGAGCGGTAAGTGTCTAACAGACCCATCCATCTACCAGCCATGTAACATCACAGAAGGTCTGAGACACAGACTGAGGTTCTCAAAGCTCAGAGAACCATGTTTTGCTTGGGCCTACTTCTCATCAAACGCCTAACAACCTTCCAACAATCGAGGAGGAACACAGCCGGAAGGGTAGGTCACGTTGGTGCCACTCAAACGCCGTTTGTCAATACGGCAACTTCCCCACGCGGCTGCCCACAGGCAACGACCTAAAATTGTTCAAAACATATCGCTGTGTTTCTTCCACGGCAAAAACACCTTCAGAAAAGAATGTCAGGAGATTAGAGGGTTTGCAAATATGTTTGCACATTAGTTGGTCACAGCTATACATTTTCTGAAGAAGGGTACAGCTTGTAGCTACAGAGCCACGTTTATTCCGGGTGCAACACTACCGGTGTCGGTGACGCGAGATCAGGCATAAATCTGACCGAGTCTTTCCTGTGTCATGGTAATGAATGATGTCAGAACACATATGGAGCGCCATTAGTCAGTGGGGGCAACTGGGAAAGAAACTGAATTTGTCTTTTTCCTTGCACAGCTGTCTAGAATTAATCTAAAAGTTGTAGGAGACAGACAGGGCAAAACTGGGATGGGACTGGGATGGTTTGGGAGGAACCTTACACTTGCAGGAGGGCACTCCGGCTGTCCACTGGGTACTGTTCCCTTTCCAAACGCAGGTGATGACGCCCGGTCCCTCCAGCTGATGCTCGGCAGAGCACTGGAACATTACCACCGTCCCCACGGCCGTGCCGTTGCCGTGAACGATCCGTAGCGTGCCGAGCTGGGGAGGGAAGACGCGGCTGCACTGCCCTGCAGGACAAAAACAAGGCCAGACAATGCAGCACCAGTGCCAAAAGCGAAGGTCCACTTTAGTTTTATTGTGACGAGACTGCAAATTGTTCCAAGTTAGTGGTCAGAACAACTAACAGACCGCGGGGTGGGCGATGCTGGTGGCTCTGCCAAGCACCGGCCCGCGGCCAAACCCCCTTCGGTGCCATTCAACAGCTCTGCTGCTCTGACCCCCGGCACAAAGAGGGCTTTACTCGTGTTGCAACATTATCTACTTAGACCGGTACGTATTAAACATTTTTTATTTTTTTTTAAAAAGAGTCATTCTGTGAGTGGCGTGGTCTCCTACGGATTCCTGCCTTGTCAGACTCCGTGTGTTTAATTAAGAACTCAGGCTGGCCTCTTCCATGCTGGGAGGATTCATAACACATCTTCCCTCATGCAGGGGTGTTAGATCCCTCCAGGATCTAACGGACTGATCACACATTTCAGTCTACTTGGTAGCATCTTTCCATGGTCCTACAGAAACCTCCTGTCCTTCTGTTGGTCTTGGCTGAAGCGAGCCAAAGCGCCTCTACAGGGAGGGGACTGGGACAGACACACACAGACAGCACAGCCACCGCCGACTCATCCCCATTTTCAAGTGACACTTGGCTTTACAGTGTTTCATTCGGTTTTAGGATGATTTTGTTCATTCCACTTTTCTCTTTCTATTTCCGTGTCGTTCCGACAGCCGTTCTTTGAGCCGTGGAGCTCTTCTCCTCTCGGCCACCGAACGTCGCCGCTAACTTTATACATTTGGGTTTATTGCCACAACGCTCCTTGTTTCACACTCATTTTCAACACAAATTTTAGTGACTGGTCATCAAGACAACATACAATATCCAAATATACTTCAAAGATAACAACAATAAATACATTTTTCTGGTTTTGTACATGTGCACTGACAGAATCTGGAAACTGTTTTACCTAATCTTTTTTTTTTTGTTTTGTAACATGCATCAAATAACAGCACTGCTTCTGCAGCAGAGTCCGAGTTCTCCATCTTTTGCTGGGTTTCCAAACGACTTCAGCAGACTCAGAGGTGACGGGGCTGCAGTTGCAAGACCAGAGTTGCAAGCACAATGATGACACACAAAAAAAATAAAAGGGGGAAAATATGCTTCCCACACTTACAAGCAAAAAGAAATGTAGAGTTTTAATAGCCTCCTTGAGAACATCTTGACAGAATCACATGTTGATAGCAAATCTAGTTTCTTTTTAATACTTATAAAACCCCTTTTGCCATTAATTAATGTTAAGCTTCTGCAACGGAACCGCAGCAGACAGGCTTCCTACCTACCTTCAATTTACACTCTTAAAAACCCCAGCCCCCTGGAAAACAAACCCAAAGAAGCCTCAGCCAAAGACCAAACAAAAGCCACAGTGACAATTACGGGTCTTATTTATGAAGTAAATACCTCCTGAGGACCGGCTTTTAAAAACATGCCTTTTTTAACTCCGTGCAGGTTATTTCTGTTTGTTCTGCCACTTCTTTCAGCCTCTTCCCTCTGCCAGCAATTTGTCTCAAGGAGAGCAAATATCGTCTTGAGGGTCGTTTCCCTTCGTCTCTCGTCCTTCCCTCCCACATCCCGTTACCGAACACACGGATGCGTGCATTGGACAACCTTCCTCCTCGCTTCCGATGAGCGCTACAAGTTTTGGCTTTTCTTTCCACCTTAATCACTCAGGGACTTACTGTGAAAAACCCTTGTCCTAAGCTGCAAGATATCTACCTTTTTGCATTTTACACTTTCAAGGCTATTTTTAGATACCGGATCACACACTTAGGAGTTCACATCAGTGACGCTTCCAGCTGCACAAGATGCAGAAAGTAATTCAGAGCCAACTCTGATCAAAGCCCAGGTCCTTGGCCACTGAAGTAGCCCTCACTGGATGCTTTCAGTAGACTTGCCAGTTTACCTGGACTCGTTTTTCAGCCTCTGCTCTCCAAAGAATACATCATTTGGCACTGGATCCTTTCTTTCAAGACACATTTCATTTAATCCAGTGTCAACCGTCCTGAGCAACATGTGCAGCTGTAGCTGGTTCAGGTGCTCTTGATCCTTTCCTGCCCCATCCTTGCCCACGATGGTATACGTCGGGCGATTAAAACCTCTGAATGCCCATGTCCTTGTCAGCATTATTCCTCAGCTGTGGATTTTACAATATTTTCCTTCACTTGAGCACTACAAGGATTTCTAACAGCCAATGTCCCATGAAGCCGTGGATACTTCCTCGCTTTGGCCAGGCTGTAACAGCATTATGGCATTCCCAGGGGATCATTCCCATAGGAATGTAACCGGGGCAGGAACCCCAGAGGCTCATCTTAACAACAGCTAATGGGAGCTGAACTTCTGAAAGCTTCTATACCTGGTTTTGCACAGATGCTGAGCGGAAAGTTCATCAACTACCCTTCATGTACCTGCATTTGGCCAGAGCAGAAATACCATTTCTTCTTCTTCTTCTTCTTCTTCTTCTTCTTCTTCTTCTTCTTCTTCTTCTTCTTCGAGCTTTTCAACACGATCATTCCCACCAAAGTCAAAACATTCAATGTGCCACTGCTTTTTGCTCTTTACAAATGCCTTTATTGAAATGCATAGATAGACTTTTGCCAGTATGACTTTGTGAATTTTATCCAAGTTCGGATTTAATATCTCTGGATAAAGTTTGCCCTAATTTTCATCAGCAATGATCTTCTAATAACTCATTTCTAAAACTTGTCCTCCAAGTTCTCGCATCCTTTGCTATTAACTATCTATGATGTTTGTGTGGTTACTTGCTGCATTCACTGATCTGCTAGGTTAATTTTACCCTTCCATCTCCAGAAAAATCATTGTTTAGTTAAGAGTCCATCATTGTATTTATATAAGCAGATGTTCCATTTAGATTTCTCCTTTGAATACTCTTCAGGCATGTTTATCTGACTAAACCTGCTACAATCAAGAATATTTATTTTTTTTAAATATAATGTATTTATTTTTTTGTTATCAGCTGAGGCTGGTGTTTGAGGCTGCATTGCCTCCTGAAGTAAAACACAAATGCTGCATAAACATTTGTGCTGACCAGATTTACATCTTGGTTTATATTTCTTTGCTAAATATCTAGAATATATGATGTTCAGGTCTTGGCTTGCAGGAACTGCTAGCACCCAGAAGCGTAAAACTGAATAAAACCCCTAATTATTGCTCACATAGCTTTTGCAATAGCTGCATCTCAAACCCCACAGATTCATGCCTGACAGCCAGCACCTAAAGCTAGGAGGAACGCTTGAGGAATTAACAGCCTATCAGCTATTTCTATGTAGTTTAGAACAAACATCAAAGTTTATGGTGTGTTGTTCAGTTTTGATTAGCTTCATGGCATCGTTCCTAGACTTGATACGTGCCTCCAGCGCCCAGTTCGCTTTGCTCTTCACTGCTGTTCTCCACTCTCAGGCTCGTGCTCTGCTTACGCTCCCAGATACCAGCTACTACTTCCAAGCTCAAGAAGAAAACTCACTTGCTGATACATCCCTATGAAGCAAAAGCTGGAAATACTTTTATTTCTTTACTTTGATGTCCAACAGAAGTTGTGAGGACTCTCACTTGCTCATTTTACCCATTGAAAAGGATTAACGAACTGCCTTGTCCTCTCTGGGTACCACGCCAACGTACAGCATCAGCTCCGGTGAACCGAGACGACCGTCAGCCATCAGCTGGCCAACTCCCTTCAGGACACAGCGCCAAACACCTTCGAGTTCCTATAGCTACTTCTGCAGCTTCTTGTAAAGCAAGAGCTGATTTATACAAATGTATTTCTTAGCTTGGTTTCACACTGAAAGGATACCCAGTGTTCGAAAAGTATTCAAAACCAGAAGGCTCTGGGAGACCTGACTGCATCCTTTCAATACTTCAAGGGAGCCAGCTTATAAATGAGGACAAACCCTTTAGCAGGGCCTGTAGCGATAGGACAAGGGGTAATGGTTTTAAACTAAAAGAGAGTAGATTCAGACTAGATTATGGACAATTTTTATGCTGACGATGGTGAAAGACTGGGAACAGGTTGCCCAGAGAGGTGGTAGATGCCCCATCCCTGGAGACATTCAAGGTCAGGTTGGAGGAGGCTCTGAGCAACCTGGTGTAGTTGAAGATGTCCCTGCTCATTGCAGGGGGGGTTGGACTACATGGGTTTGATGGATGGACCACTCTGTGGA